CGTAGTCACATGATGACTTTGGTATAGAATCATCATCTAAGCCACAATCACCTGTACATGCTAGATATGACCTCTTGAAACTATAACCTTGTACTTTTCTAAAAAAAAAATTTGTATTTTAGAATTTTATATATCCAATTTATGTCATACACTCTGAGCATAATGAACCCTAGGATAATATAATCTTTGGAAGTTATTTTATAGTGGTCAAAAATTGAACTTGATGCAGGGTTGTTAAACATCCACAAGTCACAATTATCCCTTTGTCTTGATTTACATCTAGTATAACAATAATGTGATTGCCCGCTTGGCGCAGTGGTCAGAGCATTTGCTCTAGAGTAGTGGAGTTAGGACTTGTTCCTTAAGTCATAGGTACAAATCCCACTGAAGGACAGGGAAACCGGTTCTTCCAATGAAACCAAATTCCCTTGTTGCAGTATATGCTGGGACAAGAAAAGACCTCTCACTGCTCAAAAGTACAGGTCTATATTTACAGCCCTCAACCAGCAAGTTGTGGTGTCTCAATACTAGTGAAAAATTCTTGAAGGATGTATAACAAACAAATAAACAAACAGAATTATGTGTTTATCTGAATATTTATGACATTTCTAAACCCTATGGCCTTGACCTGTATTAACCTGTGTAAGGATCATACTCTGAGGTTACAAACAATTATTGGTAAGTATTTAATACTTTGATATACAGTGACTATGACCTTGTGCAAAAGACCATTACTACTGGGTCTAGAATATTTCTGGCCCCAAGCTACCTTTGTTTCAAAAGATGTCTACTCACAGAAGACACGTAGACTTCACAATTCCAGTAACTTCATTTGTTGTTGTATAAAAATGTCCATATTTCCCCATGCAAAAAAAGTTTGTAAAACAACCCCTTTTCTTCTCATGTCTAAGATCTCTATCCTAAATACACATTTGTCACAGTCACTGTCTACTGAATTCATAAATCTAAAGGTAGTTCATACAGTCTTATTTTAATTCATCTTCTTGTGTCTTTAACATCATTACACATATAATTTTCCTATGTTTGAATAGACAATAAAAATTGGAAACAATAAATACAGTGAATTAGATTTGTTATAACTGTAACAAATAATGCAAATATGTGCAAGTCATGTAAAATTTCATTTTATTTGTAAATGTGTATTACATTGGTGACATTTATATACTGTTCAATATATGCATAAGGACTTCTATTATTATCAATCTTCACAACATTAGTTTTGTATAAAGTAATAAATAACTAGTATTTTGTACACAAAAATAACATCAATAAAAATAACAATCTTTTACATATCTATAAATATACATAAGAGGAATAAAACACTATTTTGAAATAATCATTACATTTTCATTTCTTGTCAATTAAAAAAAACAAGAAGTCTGTGAGCCAATGCTCACTGATAATACCCCCGCTCTGATGTGAATACACAAGTTCGGTTATGGACAAACACAGTGATAATCAGGAAATTGACATCAGATTTGTATAAACTGAATCCCAACATACGGCATGCCTAAACAAAGAAAAAATTTCAAGCATCTGCGATGAGTAGTTGCTGAGAAAACTACGACCAAAATTTATTATGTATGGTACGGACAGACGCACGGATAAACAGGAAGTTGACATCGGATTTGTTCCAAAAATGAATCCTATTATATGGCATGCCTACACAAAGATTGTGCTAAAATTTCAAGCATCTGCAATGAGTAGTTGCTGAGAAAACTACGACCAAAATTTATTATGTATGGTACGGACAGACGCACGGATAAACAGGAAGTTGACATCGGATTTGTTCCAAAAATGAATCCTATTATATGGCATGCCTACACAAAGATTGTGCTAAAATTTCAAGCATCTGCAATGAGTAGTTGCTGAGAAAACTACGACCAAAATTTGTTATGTATGGTACGGACAGACACACGGATAAACAGGAAGTTGACATCGGATTCGTACAAAAATGAATCCCACCATATGGCATGCCTAAACAAAGAGTGTGTTAAAATTTCAAGCACCTATGATGAGTAGTTGCTGAGAAAACTGCGACCAAAGTTTGTTATGTGTGGTACGGACAGACGCACGGATAAACAGGAAGTTGACATCGGATTTGTTCCAAAAATGAATCCTATTATATGGCATGCCTAAACAAAGAGTGTGTTAAAATTTCAAGCACCTGTGATGAGTAGTTGCTGAGAAAACTACGACCAAAGTTTGTTATGTGTGATACGGACAGACGCACGGATAAACAGGAAGTTGACATTGGATTAGTACAAAAATGAATCCCACCATATGGCATGCCTAAACAAAGAGTGTGTTAAAATTTCAAGCACCTGTGATGAGTAGTTGCTGAGAAAACTACGACCAAAATTTATTATGTGTGATACGAACAGACGCACGGATAAACAGGAAGTTGACATCAGATTCGTACAAAAATGAATCCCACCATATGGCATGCCTAAACAAACAGTGTGCTAAAATTTCAAGCATCTGCGATGAGTAGTTGCTGAGAAAACTACGACCAAATTTGTTTATGTATGGTACGGACAAACGCACGGATAAACAGGAAGTTGACATCGAATTCGTACAAAAATGAATCCCACCATATGGCATGCCTAAACAAATAGTGTGTTAAAATTTCAAGCACCTCTGATGAGTAGTTGCTGAGAAAACTGCGACCAAAGTTTGTTACGGACAGACAGACAGACGGACAGACAGACAGACACACAAGGGTAAAACAGTATACCCCCCTCTCCTTCGGAGCGGGGGTATAATGAATAGCATTATTAAACTATTACAACATGTTTTAAACCACAAATTTGTGTTCTAAAAATGCATTAGATACAAAGTGAGATGCATTGATCAACTGTTCATTGTAAGTTGAAATGAAGTTATTACTTATAAAAATACTTTGCATTAAAAAGCAAATCTTTACATAGTTTATTTGATGAAAATATTTCCTCCAACAATAAACTGGCAAGCTGTAATACAGACTCTGAAATACCTATACCACCTATTTCAAATAGTACAGTTTGCATTTCATCCATGAGATTATTGACCTTGAAAAATTATAAATGTTTTCTTCTCTTTGAAACGAACATGTGTGCTATGAAAGGGATATATTAAATAATGTTATTACAAGACATACAAGTAATTTTTATCTTGATAAAAAATAGTGACCTTCTCATGTCAATTAAGAGAACCATTTCACACAATATGTGCTAGAATCTCATCTACAAGGTGTTGGCAGACAGGCTACCATACTAATACATCCCTATAAATGAGTTGCAAATATAAAAGAAGTACCTGAAAGTCATTCAGAAAAATTTTTAAAAAGCTGGCTTAAAGATGCTACATTTGTCAGCTGAAATGCATCTTTCACAATACATTCCTAGAATATAATTTTGTGCATATTATATGGTACAATATTTTTGTTGTTGTTGTTTACAGAGCAAAAATAAAAAGTATATCCATGTACAAATGTAAAAGAGGGCAAAACTAGAAATATGTCCATAGGACATGAATGCCCCGCTGAGGGTATATTAATTTTTATTTGCTTGTTTATTGTTTAACATCCCTCTCGAGAATTTTTCACTCATATGGAGACGCCACCACTTGCCGGTGGAGAGCTGCAAATTTTGACCTATACTCGGCACTAAGGGCCATTAAGCAGTGAGGGATCTTTTTATGCCAGCACCTACTGTGACATGGGACCTCGGTTTATACGGTCTCCACGTCCCACAGTGGGATTCGAACCAGCGACATAAGGATCAACTCCTTACTCCGCAACTCTAGAGCTTTAACCACTGCACCATGTGGGCATATTAGTAATGCAACATAAAAATATTTTTAGTGTATGAAATTTGATGAGAATATCTTAAAATAGTTTCTTTAACATTGAAATCGAAAAAGTTGGATATAGATGATAAATTCCCACCAAATTCTGTTAAGTGCATAAGCTCACATAAAATTATATTTAATGGTTTCTTTAAAACTAAGCAAAATGCAAATTTAAGAGAAGTGAGGTCCAGGTCACAGGAAAGTTCAAGGTCATACATTTTTGATGCAGTTGAATAGTTCTCACTAATACGCATAAGCAAAATAAGTTTGATAAAAATATTTTGAATGGAAACCGTTTATTTAACACTGAGCTAATCACCATTTCAAGAAAAATGAAGTCAAGGTCAAATGAAATGTCAAGGTCAAAAATGTTGATACAGTCAAATACCTTACATCAGTCTGTATCAGAATATGAAGTTTGACACTAATTTAGAAAAAGTGAGGTGAAGGTCAAAGGAAATATCAAGATCAAAAAATGTTGATTCAGTTTAATAGCTCTCATCAGTATGTATCAGCAAATGAAGTTTGATTATGCTATCCTGAATGGTTTCTTTAAAACTGAGCTAAACACTTATTTAAGATAAGTACGGTCAAGGTCAAAGGAAAGGTCAAGGTAAAAAAATGTTGATTCAGTATGTATCAGCATATGAAGTTTGATTACACTATCTTGAATGGTTTCTTTAAAACTGAGCTAAACACTAATTTAAGAAAAGTGAGGTCAAAGTTAAAGTAAAGGTCAAGGTACGTTGATGAAATTGAATACCTTTTATCAATATGTATCAGCATATGAAGATTGATAAAAATATCTTGAATAGTTTCTTTGAAACTTAGTTTTGAACTGAGCTAAAAGCAAAGCGGAATGGAAGGACAGACAGAAGGTTGAAAGGACGGAAGACGGACATGACAAACTCTATATGTCATGGCAGGGCAGAAAAATTTCTAGTGTACTGAAATTCAAAACTGCAGTAATTGATCATTTTTTTTTTAATATAAATTCTATATCAAAAAACATATACAAACTTTTTTGATAATTTATTCTATTCAAAGCAATAAGAAATGCATCTGTCCGCACTGCTTAAAATTGATAAGAAGGTTATGACATAACTAAAATAATGACCATGTCCACATTAAATTTAAAATATAACGAGTGACAATTCACTTCACCTTTTCTTTGGCTTTCATTCCATTGACTTTTCTTTCTTTAAAAAATTGTGCTTGTGTACTACTCCATCTCTAAAAAATAACATACAAATGAAAGTTTATGGCACTCAATGAACTCTCTCATCCCTTCCTTTACTGTTCAAGAAAAAAATGCATACATGTACCACAAGCATACTTTAAACATGTAACTAGACTTTATATTTTCATACATAATCTCACCAACTTTATAAAGAATTGTGAATGCATTTTAAAGGTGAGCACATGTGAATTGAATTAAAAGTACCAGTATTTTGCAATACGTAGTATTGCGAGTATCTCGCAATTATCTAACTTACAACCGCTCTTTAATTAGCATGGGAGTCGAGGAAGCTCTAAATCTCACAAGATTTCTGGGGCATAACATTACAGTGGTGACAATGGAATGATTCGAACAATCATTATGCCAAAACTACAATGTATTGCCAAGAGTTGAACTCCAAATAGTAGATTTGTCAAGTAAGGAAAGTTTAGAGTATTTTATCAACTTTCAAAAGTAACGATTTTCATTTAGAATTTAATAAGAAAAGTCCGCTTAGCAAAAAGTATCGTAAAAAATGCAACACAGAGGATTAGCTCCTCTCAAAAATTTATTAGGCTGGTTCAGTGCATGTTTAGCAAGACATTTCTCTAGGATTTCTTTCTTATCAGTCCTTATAAATTCCACAATGATCGATCATGCATTGCATTCAATAGTACACTGCCCCCATCCAACAGACGTTTCCTACCTCTGTGAAAGAGTTCCGCTAATTTAAGTAATATCAAGTATTGTTGTTTATCCTTAAACCTATGTCAATAAAAAAAATTATTTCGAACAGATCAATGCTTAAGTTTTGAGATTATCACCCTTGGTATGCTTTTTTGTTTTTTGTATGGACGAGAGATTGATTTATTGACAGCTGCTTTTTCATTAAAAGTGGAACTCAAAAACTAACTTATCTTGTCATTGGTTATTTGCAAAATTATTTGTAAAAAACACTGATTGTACACACAAGTACTCTGAAGTTGATTAAAAAGATTCTTGAGTTTCTGATTGACAATATCTATGTGGTTTTTAGAGACAAGGTCTTCCAAAAATCTCTTGGAATTTCCATAGGTACCAATTGTGCTCCATTATTATCAAACCTATTTTTGTATTCATATGAAGCAGAATTTATTTAAAATCTTATACATGAGAAGAAGAAAATACATGCTGTCGCCTTTAACATTTAGATATATTGACGAAGTACCATATTGTCAGGTGTAAAGGCCGTAGTCTTGTAATAGACACACCCCCAAATTTGGGGGCAAATCCTGAGAAAAATGCAGTTCCTATGGATAAAATGCTACCCCAAAAATGCGGATGTATCTCTTATTTTCACAGCACAACTATTCCAAAGAAAAAGTTTAAAAAGTTAAAATATTCATATTATTTCAAAAACGAAAGTAGGATACAACTTCTAATTTTCTTGGAAAATTCAGTTTACATATAAGCTTTATTTATAAGTATTTAAGTATAGTCTGTATTTTAATTGTTATTTGATTGGTATAAATTAAAAATTAAGTCCTGTATTTTTTTTCCCTATAACCCTAAGCATTTTACAATACTGTGCTGAAAATGCATTCCAAGCAGGTGTCTGTGTTTATGTAAACAAATCATCCCAAGCGTAATTAATGTCACACTTATGTATACAAGTGAAACCAGGTAACTAAAAAGGTGTGTAAAATATTTATCATTAAATAAACTTTACTGATTACAAGTGTATTGTTTAAAATGGCAGTTGTTTCAAAACCAAATGGCCGGAAATTGTTATATAAACAAATATGACCTACATTAGGGTCGAGAGGAGTTAAATTTGGCAGTGATGATATCCAAGTTAGAAAAAGATAATTTATTTTAAATATACATATATATATATTTAATTTTGAATAATATTTTAATGGAAATATCTTTTTATATTTCTGTTTGTTGATTTATTTATCAGCGATCTGTCATACGTGACTATCATTCAAGAATTGGGGAATAATATGTAATAAACTTAGAATGTGGTAACAGTGAAAATCACTCATAAGAGTTAAGAAAAAATGTCCAAAAAAAAGGGTTGAATTTAGTTTCTATGTAATGCACGCACCCACACTTTTGAACAATTTTTCTGAAAAAAAAAAGTGCGTCCGATACACGTGACTTTACGATATTAATTATTTCCATTCATATTTCAACACAATTATCCCAATGAGCTTGATAATTTAAAGATACCACAGAGTCCAGGGATCGACATTAACCGTTGTCCGATTGCCCGGGGCAAGTTAATTCCCAGTTAAGGCAAGTGAAAATGCCAATGTACTTGTCCGATTGGGCAAGTGAATATTTCAGATAAAAACTTTTTTTTTCATATCTTGCATTAGTTTTAAACAAAACAATAACACTTTCTGCCAAGAACATATCAAAAATAGTTTCTTAAACAAGAATAGTTTGTTTTTTCACTCAGAGAACACCAGTTTTTCTCGGCAAACAATGTATTCTGATCAGGATATGTATGTTTCAAAACATTATAACAACTGTTTTCCTTTAGTGTGGCCTCAGTTTTCCAGAGAAAAAAATCAAAATAATATATATATATATATATATATATATATATATATATATATATATATATATATATATATATATATATATATATATATATATATATATATATATATATATATATATATACATATTTAAAATATGAATTTTATTTTAAAGAAAATATATACTGCTGCATGGCAGTGCAAGTTTTCAGGATAAATGAAAGGACAGTGGTATACATGTACAGAATTTACAATTGTAGGATAACTGACACATCAACATTTTTTCTTGGCAGTTAACTTGCCAATAGAAAGTACTTTATTGCACATAAATTAAATTACCCGTATTTTCTTCTTTCTAAAATTTGGGCAACCAAGTTTTGCATTTGGACGAGTCAAAGTTTGTTGTCCCAAAGGACAAGTGAATATGAAAGTTAAAGTCTATCCCTGGAGTCTGACACATCTGTTTCATATTTTGATAATTTTCTATAAAAAGAGGTTAATGGTAACCTAACAACAAACCTTTATGACTAACTTTTCAATCATTAACTTCCCTTACTTATGCAGCAATATACCCTCATCACCTGCATACAGGGTTCATATCTCTTTGTTGATTCGATACGCAAGAGCATGCTCTACCTATGAACATTTCTAAAACAAAGTAAGTTATTGACAAACAAGTTGATGAAACAAGAATATCATCAGTCTTGTTTAAAGTCATCATTACAATAGTTATATGGTCGATACAATGACCTTGTTGCTTGTCAGAAAATACAATCTATCATTAAGTCAAGTGCTGATTGACGTTTTAAATCTAATTTCCAGGCCATTATTTACACACTGAATTGCATACAGATTTTTCTAATTTTTCCCGGATCATGACAGGAAGCACACCGCGCGTGTGACTGGTCAGCAGGGGATGGTCACTCCTCCATGGCACCTGATCCCACCTCTGATGTTTTAGAGGTCCGTATTGTTCTGCTCCTGAATTGTATTGTTTGAACGAACTTTTGAGCTTTAATACTGTTTGTTATCTCCATATATTTCATAAACCTGCTAGTAGGACATGTTCAATATACTGGTCTATAACTGTTTATTTGGATGCACTAATCAGCTCAAAATTTAAATAATAAATTAAAATACCAAAAATATCTGGGAAAAAAAACACACTGGAAAAATCTTATAATAATACGAAGAAAGAAAAATGGATCTCTAATATATAGGCATCTGATCACTGCACGTCAGGATTCTAAATGAAACACTGACTCTTTCCCCTCATAATAATTTTAAAGATTCCACTATTTTTTTTTTAGAATAAATTTGTACAATCTAGGAAGTGTCTTCTCTCAAAGGGATTGATGATTCAGTTGTTTTCAATCATCCTAATTAAAACTAGATTTTATAAAACGAAATATAGAGACAACGAATAGTATTTAAGCTCAAAAGTCCATTCAAATTATGATTTGAGCAGTGCAACCTCTACCTCAAAAACATCCGAGGTGGGATCAGGTGCCTTAGAGGAGTGAGTATCCACTGCCGACTGTCACTCTCACTGCCAGACTCCAGATGATTCTTCATTAAAACCTTGGCTGTAACTGTAGGTAACTTGATATGTGTCTCCACCTATCATTAGTGATACAACTGCCTGTTTACTGCTTAGAGAAAAGTAACACTTAGAAAAGGATAATAAACAAGAATCTGATATACCATGAAAATCCTTAATAGTAGTAAGGAAACACTTAAAACATTACTTTCCAAGAAACATGCATTTAATATTACATGTACATAATCAATTTATAAAATTTTAATTAGGGATGGAAATAAATAATATCCAAACATGAAATAGATGTGTCAGACTCTGTGGTATCTTTTATTTCAAGCTCACTGGGGTATAATATATATAGTTGACATATGAATGGAAATAACTATTGTTAATTGATAATATATCATCGATATATCTCACTGTCGAGTTCAAGACCACAGCAAGTGTTTCTTCTTCTCATGTGTAAGATTTTGAATAAATTCTGCTTCATATGAATATAAAAAGAGGTCTGCTAGCCTAACAACAGGTTGCAATTGGTACCCATGGGAATTCTGACAGATTATTGGAAGACCTGGTCTCCAAAAACTACATATATATTGTCAATCAGAGACTCAAGCATCCAAAAACCTGTATTACTAAAGTATGGCTCAATATGATCACCAAAATCATCATTGCTTGACATAATATGCATGTATAATCTTTCTTTAATATTAATTACATTTTAAAAGGCCCTAATTAAGCCATCATTTTGACATTTATTTAATCATGATTGTGTATACTTTATCAACAATCTCTGCCACTTTCATGCGGATATGGCTTCTTTTTGTGTTTCTCTTGTTGAAGAGCTACAATCTCCAAACTTGTGTATTGAGTATAATAACTTTCATCCTTCTCATATTGGCCTAGGTGAAAACAGATAATACTACAGGTCACTTACTCAGAAGGATTACTTGATTTTGTTGATCATGTTGATTGATGGTAGTCTGCACAGTAGCGCTAGCAGTTTCTTTTTTACCATTTCACTGTGAAAAAAAAATGTGGAACTTATTAAATATTAAAAATATTTACCACTACATTAGCATTGGTGATATGGTCATTGCTCTTTTTTGTAACAAATCAATTAAACACTGCACCTTTATATAGTATGAATTATATTGCATGTACTTTCGATCAATCTATTTAAAAAACATCAAAATTAATTACCAATAGGTTCTTGAATTTTTAGTTTCTGTTGCATTGGGCTGAAATTACGAGAAAAACTTTATTTTGAACAAGCATTTATATGTACAGTATTGTACTTGCATACTTAAATACCTACTATAATTAAGATTAAACAAGCATTTTGAGAGTATTGCCTTAGCAATACTAGTCCCCTACCTGCAAGTGTAATCTGGTTCCCACTAAAAATTGAATTGCCACAATTCCATTAAAAATCATTGATTAAGAAGCATAACAAAATGCAAACTTGAACTGTAACTCATCAAGATACACTTACATACCAAAACTCAGCTCAATATCTGCAAGCGTTTAGAAAAAAGTGCGGAAAACAAATGGGACAGACTGAAAGAGGGACAGACAGACAGATGGACAGACTCAGAGGAAACCTATAATTCCCTCTGGTTTCACCGGTAGGGGACTAATAAAAAAGTGGGAAAAAGCCACCCTGTTAAGCCCTACTTTCGTCTCCCATGGTGAGCAGTGGAAAAAGGTCTTATGCTTGGATATGTTGTACATGTACTTTGTATCAATCTGTACATGCATAATCCATTGGCTAATGAAAGAGGCAATTTATTCGTAATGTAAACTTTTAAATGTAGTGGTAATGTGTACATTTTTTGCAGCGGTAATGAGTATGTAGCGGTAAATAATTACCATTTTGAAAATGTAGCGGTAATGATATTCACCTGGATAAAGAAATGGTCTATCTATTCCAGTCACATTTTTGACAAGATAGGGCACTTCTTATTTGCTGTACATATAATTGTTTTCATTTTCACACTGCTTTTTGGGAAGATTGGGAAAATAAAGACCTTTTAGGAAATTTTGGAATAACCATTATACGTACTTTAAAATCATATATATTGGGTTTCCGGTCTTCGTTATCAACTAAATTTGTTTTATAAAACAGAGGAATATGAATAGCAAGTTTAGTTATTACCGGTATATATCCAGCTATATTTTCTTTAATTTTTGGGAGAAATTACTATTGGGAAAATTAACACATTTATTGGGAAAAAAGGCACCTTTTTTTGAATTGGGAGTGGGGCCCTTGAACGGCCCCAATTATAGACAATTGAGAGCCCTGTTTCATATTTGAGAGGTCGATTTATAACCTTCGTTCTTCATTTTTTAAGCTTTGGGTGTGTGTTGATTACAACACATATGTCAAGTGACTTATCTTTAAGTTATTGTCAAAGAAATTTCAAGTCTGTTAAAATCTTAATGGTTAAATAACTTGTGCCCTGTACGAAATAAGATTTTGTAGCAAATAATCTATACAACCGAGCTGCAATTTTCCCCAAGTTATCAGACTGAAAAAGGGGGTGCATATTTAAACCAATGCATATTATATTCGGCAAGATATGGTATCTGCTTGATTGTCACATTTCAGTTTGAAACATGTTACAAGTTTTATTTTAAAAAATGAAAATATTATTGAAAAAGTAAATACAAATACTCATTGACAAAAAGTATTTACTAGGGATGGCAATTTCTAACCGGTTAACTGATTACTCAGTTGGAACGATGGCAATCGATTAGAAAATCTGCAATCGATTAGTCGTAAAAAAAATTATAATATATGTAAAACTGAAGGCAATGTACTAAAATTCATTTTCAAAATAGAAATTCCTACCTAAACATTTAATTTAGCGTTTTCATTTATTTATTTAGGCTGATTGGGAGGTCATTATGGCTCTCCAGATTAAAATTGCGGGGTAATTGGTCAGTCTGAGATATGTATACTGTTAAAACATCATGTCGTTACCCCGACTGTCCTCTAATTCTTTAATGATAATAATCACCGTTGAGTACCATGAATTGGTGTGTGTGTATCTTTTGCAGTTATCTATCACATTAGATTATAATACAAACATTGTAAATTAAGGGGATGAAGGACACATGGTCACATGACTCTTTTTATCTACGTCATAATCTCCGTTTATATAAGTCCAAAACGTGTAAAGCATCAGTTCTTGTATAATTTTTTGACATTTTTTTTAACTTAAATTGCCATCTTATATAAAAAAGTAAAAAGTTTTAACATTCATGTAAACATTAACAAATTATGAAAAAGATTGATCCACTCCTCTGTTTCCCTAAACTGCACGTCCAACAAGTCGGTGACGTCATACACGATCTATTAGTACAGCAAGATCATACTCGGTGAATACAGCGGCGGTATTATTATGTAAAATCAGGTCATAATCAGTATGTGATGAAATATTTTGAGAAACGGGGAACATAAAAATTATGATTGCATGGCTGATGACAGAAATCTTATGTAGGCATATCTTATTTCGCTTATTTAGCTTACGTGTGACGTCATAGTTGGTTTTTCCCGTACTCAAGAAATGTAAATATGACACGTTTTTGTCATGTTTATGTCCTCTGTAATGATGTCCTGTGCAATATTGAGGTCAGCTTCACCATTCAAAATTTTTACAGTTAACCAATAATTTGAAGGACTTGCATTTCAACATAAATTTAAAAATATTGAATGATAGAATTTTTTGTAAATTACGTTTTTTTGTTGCTTAAGTTGTCTCAAAAAATACGTAATTTTCCCTATCCAGATGTGGTGTGACAGGATAAAATTGCTTTTTCGAATTTTAAACCTATTCATACTCTGAAATATTTTAAGAGATACATGTCCACTTGCATATTTTTTATATATGCTTAATAAATCCCATTATGGACAGAGTATTGGGCCCGGAAACATGAAGAATTAAAACTCCACTTAGATACTGCAGGGCATAGTATTTGTCAATCAATATCTCTAAAATAAGGTCAGAAACCTACTGATATAACTGCTTTAAGATATGTGGGACATACTAAATTAGAAATATACAAAATATGAAAAAAATTGAATGACAAGTATTTTTTTCAGCTCAAGGTCCTTCTTCCCCTTAAGTGATACAATTTAGACTTAGTTTTGATTATGGTGATAATGAAGAATGAACTTGTGTGACATCCGCTCATGAAAATTATCCACGATATCTCAGGCGTGGTTCATGGTTTTCTGAATTTTTTCTTGTCTATTGAAAAAAAATATGCACATAGTTTTATGATCAAGAAAGAAAAATAGAATGATTTTGACCTCTAACAACTTTTTTTAAAGATTTCTTGTGCATAGGAATAGAGGTACTTGAAAAAAGTCAAGAAAATGACATTGTATAGTTTGAAACGATTAACCGATTAATTGGTCGGAACATTTTGCGGTTTACCGTCAACCGATTTGCAATTCTGTATTCGATTGCCATCCCTACTACAGTGGCTGCAACGTTATTGTTGACAAAAGAATCGTGTAAAATCGTTCGTGTAACATGCGTGATCGTTTGTGTAACATGCGAGATCGTGCGTGTATCAGACTCAATCGTTTGCGGTTTTAATCGTGCGTGATCGTGCGTTAAGAAACGTGTAAATTTTGTTTTGTAAGTTTTTATTGGAATGTTTTTGTTATACAAGCATTTCACTTGTCTGTTTTTTTTTTCAATCCAAATTGAAAAGAAATGAAGTGCGATTTACATAACTGAAAACAGAATGAACTAATTAACGCTTGGAAATAAACAATATAGTAAGTCGTACAATATTGTGTTCTCGTCAAATAGCATGATTTTTTTCTGATAAACCGTACTTAGATGTTTGATTTTTTTCTCTGATGTTAATTATATTTATTGCTAATTATGGTCAAGATATTTTTAAAATCAATAGATCAAAAATAAACATTTTTACAAATAAATAATTCTCAATGCTTACATAAGTATTTAGTCGGTGAATGTACATTTACACGACATGATTCTCGGGGTTTCGTTTATCAGTGTTATCTCTGGAGGTTACTTTTGATTATTTTTTTTAATTTCTGCAAATAAATGATTTGTAAAATAATTGTTGATTTTAGAGATTCACAAATTGAAATGTGGATATAACTTATAATTTAATTCATTTTCATGCCATTTTTTCAAACTTGTCCCTTTCTGCATATTATGAAATCCAATTCAATCAAAACTCACGGTCCACCTACATGTACATCTTCTGATAGAACGAAAAAAAAAATAGTTTTCTAAAGTCAGAGAATTACATAAATAATTTTTTGTAATCTAAAATAATTCATAAATCTTACATGTATTTAGTTCCAGAAATATCCATTTCTTTTTTTTTTTTTCATTTTTCAAAGTTGACGAAATAAAATCAATCATTATTTGAAATCTAAAATAAGTATTAAGCCTTAGGCCATCATTAAAAATATATTTGTTTCCCCTAACCCGACCCTAAAATTTCAAGTTGAGTAGGTAGGTAGGTGAATTATTTTTTTTTTCTGACAGCAGTTTTGAAAATACATTCTGAAAATTGAATAATATCTCTATAGATAAGAAAGAACGAAAGAAACCGATTTTTAAACAGAATATCATACAAATGAAATTTAAAAGCAACATGTATGGTAAATTAATTCACAAATATTATTCATTTGAACTTGTGAAATATCTCAGGCCAGCGTAAATTTATTGAAATTGAATTTTTACAAAAAGACAAGATTCGCAAATGCTCAACCATCGGCCATCCGAGTATATTTTTTTCAAATCTACTATCATCTTCGAGTGCTTACAGAGATAAAATGTCAAGGGCCTTGCTCGGCGAAGTAATTCTAGTGTTTCGTTTTGCAGTCACGACGTAATTCAGGAGCTTATTCTAAGTCACAGGTCCTGACGTGGGGCGTGGAAACTCGTCAGTCAAATGAGACCGTAAAAAAACGCAGGGCCATGCAGTGTCACAGTATACATGTACCGTATATACTCGCCTATAA